GCTGGTGTGTGCAGATGTTCTATGCAATTTCATCACATGTATAGGCAAACAGGGATAACAACCACAGGCAAGGACCAAGATCTATCACGAGGATCCCTTAGGTTACCTTTTGGAGCCACAGCCATCTCCTTCCCTCCCTGTCCCTTACCCCAGGAAACACAAATCTGTTCTCCATTTCTATAATTTTGTTTTTACAAGAAAGGGAATTATACAGTATGCAACCTTTTAAGGTTGGCTTTTTTTCATTCAGCTTAATTTCCTTGAGATCCAGCCAGATGTCTGCATGTATCAATGGTTTATTTTGTTTTATTACTTAGCATTTCTAATCATTCAAATATTGAAGCAAATTTGGGTTGTTTTCAATGTTTTAGTGTTATATATCAATATGCTGCTAGCATTCATATACAGGTTGCCTCTTGAATAATGCCCAAGAATGGGGGTGAAGTGATGTAGGCCTGTTACCTCAGATACTAGAGGGCTGAGGCAGGAAGATCACAAGTTTGAGACCAGCCTGGGCAAACTAATGAGAGCCTGTCTCCAAATAAAAAGGGCTTGGATGTAGCTCAGTGGTAGAGTGACCCTGGGCTCAATCCCTAATACTACATACAACAACAACAACAACAACAAAACCCCCTACAATTGCTGGGTTATATAATAAGCATGCTTAGTTTTGTAAGAAACTGCCATATTCTTTTTCCAGAGTGGCTGAACCATTTCGTATTTCCACCAGTAGTGAATGAGACATCTAATTTCACCAGCGTTTGGGGTTATCACTGTATTTATTTTAGTCATTCTGATAGCTTTGTGAATGATGATTTTTAAATTGTTTCATTCTTTTACTACCTTTCAGTTGCAATTCTTCTATAAAGAACTCTTGTTCCTCAGTTATTTGGTGACTCTGAAATAGTCTGTAGAAGAAAGGAAGAATAACATGTTTTTTTTTTGTTGTTGTTGTTCTCTATTCCTCTCCCTTAAGCCAATTTTTAGAGAACACAGATCTGTGCCCTGCCAGCCTTCAGAGTGACTAATTAGCAATTTTTTTTAAGTATCATCATGAAATCATGGATTAAAAATATTTGATGTGGTTATCTTCTCAAGGTAAATTATTAGAAGAGAAGTCCTATGAAAGGGTAGACAAATTTAAAAATTTTATATAGATTACCCCTCTCACCTCCAGAAAGATCATACCATTTTGTGCTCTTACCATTATATAAAAATATTTATTTCTCTATATCCTTGCCAACACTGATTTGGCCTGTTTTTAATTTTTATTTTTTTAATTTTACCAATCTGATGATTAATTGATATTTTACTGTTTCTATTGCAGCGCTTAGTTAGAATTGATCTTTTCACATTATTGAATTTTTTAAAAAACTAGCCAGTTGTCTGTTAATTAACTTTACCTGTGTTTCTATTGGGATATTAGTCTTTTATTACATTTTTCTGTTGTTATGCCTATCAGTATTTTTCCTTGATGGTTTCTGCTTTCTATTTGCTTAGACTCTTTCCTACCTTAAGATTATAAAAATATGTACTTATTTTTTCTAGTACCTTTAAATATTTAAATATTATAGCTAAATTTAAATAGTGGCTCCATGGAGAGCTTATTTTTATGTAAGAAATAAGGTGCAGCATTACATTTTCCCAAATGTCTGATCAATATCCCCATGCCAAGGCTGGAGATGTGGCTCAAGTGGTAGGGCGCTCGCCTGGCATGCGTGCGGCCCAGGTTCGATCCTCAGCACCACATACAAAAAACAAAGATGTTGTGTCTGCCGAAAAATAAATACATAAAAATATTTTTAAAAATTCTAAAAAAAATGACTTAAAAAAATATCCCCATGCCAACGTATTAAATAAATTATCTTTACCCACTGACTTTGTTACCAAATCCAAGTTCATTTACTTGGGCCACCCAAAAAGAAGCCCAGTGTATCAGTAAGCCAGAGAAATCAAGAATATAGTGGGCCAGTGCCCTAAAAATCCATCTTAACTCAGTATAAATTTCAAGCTCCTCCTATCCTTAGGTTTAGTGGGGTAGGGTGGAAGGAAGGCTTGCATCAGGTAAGGATTGATGACTGGAGACCTAAGGTGCCACTCCTGTGTTAAGGAACAGGGTGTTGTGAGACCTGGTGGTTGGCAATCTGTCAATCATGATGCCTCTGAAAAATCTCAAAAATTTAGTTACTCTCATTTTGGCATCTTCAGCATTGAAGCAGGAAGAGAAAGATTAGGGAAGTTTTGAGTAAATCAGCCTTGTACTACCAATTCTAGACAAGATTCCTTAAATGACTACCATGCATCCATACAAAGCTGAGCAGAAGCAGTCTAACCCAAAGGTTAGCGAACAGCAGATCTGAAGGCAGAAGGGCCAGGCTTTCTTAGCCTGTTTCAGTCACCCCTTGGACACCTGTGCAGGCCCAAGTGAAGAGTCAATGCTTTCTACAAAGGCATTCTCCAAGTCCCTGATAAGTACCCTAGGCCACTGTGTCATCATAACCTACACTTCAGAAGTGTTATCTACAGCAAGGCTCCTGGGAAACTAATAATGCATTGCCCCATGGTGTAGCTTCCAACATTTGTGATTTTTAAAGTCAGCTGCAAGCAGGTGAAGCTGGAAGGTTTACTCTTGATTACAACTTGGAATGCCACTTTTATGCTTAGTTCTCTGTCATTTTGATTCTGAGTTTTGTATTGTGTTCCACTGATAGGTCTATGACTGGTCTCCTGTCACAATTTATATTACCACAGCTTGATTTTCCATTAACATTTTTGTTACTGGAATTTATGAAATTTTGAAAATTATATGAACTTATTCTTGTTGCTTTATAATGTTTAATTTTGTTGTTGTTTTTGTTTGGTTTTGCAGTGCTAGGGATCAAACCCAAGGCCCTGCAAGAACTAGACAAATGCTCCACCACTGAGCTACGTCCCTAGACACTGTGACATGTTCTAATATTTGATTGCTTGTCTATTTTCTTATTTTATGACTTTGCTGGCAGAGCCCACAGATTGATCCAAGTGGATTTGAAAATATTTGTAAAGTTCTCCAAATACCTTCTATATTTCATTTAAGGAGGACTGATTTTACAGTTTTAAACTCTCATGGTTAAGAATGTAGTCTTTCATTCATTTAAGTCATCTTTTGTGTCCTTGAGTATTTTTTATTACCTTATTTCTAAGTTTATTATTGTTAGTTTCTCTGTCCTTTTGTTTGAGGAATGCCTTTTAAACTTGATCAGATTCAATTTTTTTTTAATGAGGTCATACCTTCTGGGAAAAATGTCAGACTTTATTATCTATAATATTAGCTTTCTAAGCTGCTCCCTAAGCCGACAAGCTCTATTTCCCACTGTCCTTAAGGCAAATTCAGTCATAGTTTCCTTCTGATAGTCACTATTGTTTAGTTACTAAGTATAAATTACAACAAATTTCTGAGGAAGACATAATACATTGTTGATCAAAATTAAAGGCTAATTCAAATTTGGAATTTTAAATTGAAAACTTCAGTTATTTCTTTACATCATTCAGGCAACTTTTTATCAAGTGACAAGATGAACCTACAATTATAAAAGATTTTCATAAGGCATGTGTCTTCTAGCCTGCCAGTTTTCTTGGTTGGACTATTTATAGGATCTATTTTATTGTACCTGGGAATTGTTATCTTTTTCTGCTGCTTGTATGAGCTGTCTTAATGCTCAAACCTGTTTTATCCAAAGTACAGTAGTAAAGGTAAAAGCAGCTACTACTTACTGAGATTGTCCTATGTGCTAGGCTCTCCATCTTACATATTTAATATATGTTAATTTCTTTAATTCACTGAACAGCTTTCTAAGGATTTCTTATGTTGCAGATAGGAGGTGAATTGATAGTGAAGTTAAATCTTCGAGGCTTCAACTCATCGAGGTCTCAGATTACATTACAGACTCCTGCCATTGTGAGTGTGTGCAGATGTACATATGCGCCTGCATTTTGGAGGACTTTTGTTGTTTGGAGGGGTGAGCAGAGAGAGAAGTGGTTATAGTTTCAGCAAACTTGAAGGCACTGCTTCTAAAACACAGAAGACTTTAATAATACACCATCTCATTCTCAAGAACTATTCTTCATTAAGTATTATGTTCTGCAAGTACTAGACAAATGCTCTACCTCATTATGTTTTAAACTATTTTGTAGATGTTTACTGAACTGCTATTATTTGGTAGATTCTAGGATCAGTTTTCTGGGGAGTATTATAAACTAGGATTAATAAGAATAATATAAATATTGGAATTATCAAAAGATTTGTTAAGGTTATTAACGACAAGACAAGATTATAAGGTGAGTCATTATTTTAGGGGGAAGTCTATTTTCATATCCTTTAAAACTACTCAATTATAAATAATATGCTAATTATAATTACAGAGTTTTAAAATTCATTCAAACAGCAGAACCCTTTGCTTTTCTCTCTCTCTCTCACACACACACACACACACACACACACACACACACACACACACACACACACATATATTCTCTCTTACTTAGAAAAGTAGCATTCTGTGATTCAGAGAAACTTTCCAGGCAAATCAATTGGCTTGTTTGTGTATGTTATAAAATATGTGAGAAACACTGAAAGGCATAAAGATAATATCTTATCCTTATATCTAACATATTATTGAAGGCATAGAATTTTACCAGTATAACTGAAGTCCCTCTGTACTGCTCTTCAAGTGCCTGATTCTTCTTCTGCCTCTATTTTAAAACATAATAACCATTTTTGGACCTTGTAAATGATAGTATAAGCTAATTGTTCTGCAGTTTGCTTTTTTTCATTCAATATGATATTTTTGAGATCCACCCATGTTGACATGTGTAGTTCTAGTCTGTTCATTTTACTGCTGGTAATATTATGATCTATAAGCATGTCATCATTTACTTATACATTCTTCTCCTGATGGACAGGTAGTTGTTTCCAGTTTTTGCACTTAATAAAACATGCTGTTGTCAATGCTGTCTTACAGGTCTCCCTGTGCTTATATGTGAGAGATTCCCTACAGTACTTTTCTATGAATGAAATTGCTGAATTAAAAGGTATGTGTATTTCCACGTTTGCTAAACATTGTCAGGTTGTCACCAAGGGTAGTACCCATTAAGATCTCCACCTTTGCCAATTAGGTCTCTCATTGTTCTATACCCTTACCAACACTAGGTATTGTTGAAGATTAATGTGCCATTGAGTGATATCTTATTGTTTTGAATCTTCTTGATTATTGTTGAGGTTGACCTTTTCTTCTTGTGTTTATTAATAATATAGATATTTCATCGTATTATGTTTTTCCTCCATATCTGTGGGTCTACATCCGTGGCTTTAATCAACCCCAGATAGAAAACATTTGGGAAAAAAATGCATCTGTACTGAATATGCAGACTTTTTTTTTTCCCCCCAGAACTGGGGATAGAACCCAGGGCCTTCCATATGCTAGGTAAATTCTCTATCACTGAGCTCCATCCCCACTCCTTTTTATTTTTTTATTTTCTGTTTTTATTTTTTGTCTCACTAAGTTGTTAAGGCTGTCCCCAAACTTGAAATCCTCCTGCCTCAGCCTCCCAAATAGCTGGGATTATGGGCAATCCCCTCTGTGCCCAACTATGTAGACTTTATTTTCAGTGTCATTATTCCCCAAACAATACAACACAACAACTGTTTACATAGCATTTATGTTGTATTAGACACTATAAATAATTTAGAGATGACTTAAAGTATACAGTATAATATGCAAATAATATGTCATTTTATATAAGGGACTTCAGTATCTTGACATTTTGGGATCCATGGGGGGCAAAGAGTCTTGGAATCAGTCCCCTGAGGACACCAAGGGATGACTGGACTTATTGTATATAATGGTTGAAAGTGATGTGCAAATTTGAAAGTAGCATAGATAGATAGAACTATACCATATTATCCTTGAAATATTGGCAGTTTTGCACATTTTTTTGGAAGACATAATTTGGGGTGGTTTCTTGATTGTATATTTTTAAAAAGCATGTACTTTGGATTGATGCTTGAATCACACACAGCTCTATTATTTATCACTATATGACCTTCAACTATTTATGTAATCTGAGTATCTGCCTCTTCATCTTTTAAATGGGTATATCTTATGATTTGATGACAAAATTAGATGTCATTAACACCTAGCACATAGGATTAGTATATAGTTTTAGGATGAAATATACATACTCAGTTTCAATATTATGAAAGATGGGTGATACCATGGTATAAATGTGGATCAGTCCTGATATTTGGAAGCATGTGTTGATAGTTGACTCTAATAAAATGTACTTTAATCTCAATCAAGGAGACCATTGGCACAAAAAATCTAGAACTATCAAGTGTCTGCATAGGACTGTCTTGGTTCTCCCTGTATACCATGCTCATCTTCTGTGTCCTGTCAGAAGGCAGTGATAGAGCTGTATGGGACCACCCATAGTGGTGGGTGGGCACAACCTCAGGCCCCTTCTGTGTGCCCCGCAATCTGGCTCTATTTGGGAACCCAGTCAATAACCATACAGCATGGGATAGGTGGGCCGTGTGCCAGAGAGCTGATGACGGCAATGTGGACTGGTCAGTCATAGATACTGTGAGTTGATTTCATTTGGATTGTTCTGTTGCCTCTTGCCACAGGAATTTCTTCACATGGCTGCTGAGGAAGTGACCATTACAGTGCGCCTCATTCGTTCATTTGAGCACCGAAATTTCAAGTCCGTAGTGTATCATGGAGTTAATTTGGATCAAACCGTAAGGGACTTTATAGTATTTCTAAAGCAAGGTATGAGACAGTAAAGTCATTTTGTTTTACTGGTGGTTTGAAAATATAGCTGGCTGTGATGTTAATGGTAATCTTTTTAAAACACAGAGGTAATTGGAAGATATTAATCTAGGTTCTGAGCCAGGTGCTAGGCTGGCTCCTGTTCTGAGCCTTGGCATCAGCCTGCCCCAAGATTTCTTAATAAGCTACGTGTGTGTCCTCACCACAGATTGTTGCTTGACTTAAAAAAAAAAAATAAGATCTGTGTTTTCTTTTCTTTCTTTCTTTCTTCTTTTTTTTTTTCACCTGCAACACCAACTTTATTTTTAAATCTGAAAGTGTCTTGGGAGAGTTTTACAAAAAAATCAACAGAAACGAGTTATGAAAATATTTGACCAACTTTATTCTTTAATTATTTCTTATTGTGGCTCTGTAAGGACAGACTGTTCCTGAAGCTCCAGCTAAAGCAGGAAGGGAAAAAAAAAATCAGTCCAAGTATAAACCATTTAACCAATTGGGTGTTTATCACCTGTTGCTGACATAGAGCAGGCCCTAGGGCCTACAAAACCAGCCCCACTCCCAACCACAAGGTTGAAAGTCTTAATGAGGCAGAACATTAAGACTCCTTTATAAATATGAAAATAGATTAATCAACTGGAAAAGTTCTTTTAATGGATTAGCTAAGAGCCATGACCACCACGCTGCCTTGCCCTCCCCTTGCATAGAAACGTAGTGATGTGGTCTGACCATGCAGTAAGTACAAACAGCAATTATTCAAGTGCAAGAAGCACCCCAGTCTTCAGCCCTTTATCACTTCCTGGTCAGCTCCAAGTTCCATCCAGTAGCTTATATGCCCCCCAAAAAGGCAACATAGATTTGGGATGGTAGAAGAACCAGGGTAATACCGCCTGCCAGCTCAACCTAGAACTAAGAGTTCTCTGGTCCTGTCTGGGGAAGTGTACTTGGATCAGGTAGGAACTAGAGCTCCTTGCTTAACATCACCAGTTAGCCCTAACTAGGAAGGCCTCTCACTGAGGCCTTCCCTTTCATGCAGCCATTGGGTAAATAGGAACCCAAAAGTTTAGCCTGGCTTGATCTGCTCTCCAGGCCCCAGAGAAGAGTGGAGGATGTGCACCAAGGGGTCCCTATGGTTTCAGGTGGAGGTCCATCCCCAAGGTAAGACAGGGACTAAACCTCCTTACCCATCCTATTCTCCCTGGACTTGCAGTCCTATGCCTGAGATAGATTAGGGGACTGCAGCCAAGTTTCTTGGCTTGCCTTCTTCTATCTCCATTTCCTTGGAGACACTTCTGCAACATGGGCTTATCTCCTGGGGCTTGGGCCCCACACCTTTTTTTTCCTGGAGAGTATAGCAGTCCATGGCCTCATGGACTGCAGCAGCTGGCCCCGAATAGTGGGATCTCTATTACCCTGTACTTGAGACTACTGAGTCGTGGCGGGGGCCCATCAGATAGTGATTCTTCATGGCACAAAAATGGACAGGCCTCCTGATGTAAGAACTCTGGTGAACCGGGCAAAGAACACCATCGGCAAGCAGGTGGGGCCAAGGGCTCCTGCCAGTCAGCTAGGGGTGTAGTTCTAGACCCTGGTGTGCCGCAGTCTGGCTGGGCACAAAATCACGAGCTACTCACAGCCTTGTAGATTCAAACAGCAATTCTTTATTCCCGAACTCTCACCGGCACTCTACACGCATGTTCTGGGGAAAATCCACACTCTCCACAGGGCTCTGAATCCCAAAATACTCTCAGAATGCTGGGAGAACTCCATGGGAACTCAAGGCTCCTGAGGCAGCAGGATACGCCCTATTCCCAGCAGGAATCACCTTAAACCTGGAACCGCCCTAAACCCCATCTGCCCTAAACCCTGATCCACCCTAAACCCGAATCCGCCCTTGTTCTTGAGCAAGGTCACCTTTCATGCAAAGTCACTGCCCTCTAAGCAACATGGGGTAGGCTGACAAAGAAATTGCCATGTGTTATTCCTACTTGGCAATGGCTCTCAGCACTGGTGCATCCAGGTCAAATACCAGGGAGATCACAGATTTGCTGGGTAGGTCAAAGAGCTTGAACTTGCAGCCCTTGAGGTCCTGACGAGCACTGAAAGGGTTGACTTTGAGGGTACAGGTAGCATCATCTCTTGGTGGCTGGTAGAGGGGTCCAAGACACTCACTGTACCTGGGGGTTTACGAGAAAAGATGTCTGACTGGCTTCGAGACAGCCAAATAGTACGTCTTAGATGTGGTGACTTGTGGGGGATCTTGTCGTCCAGTGAGTTCAGCCTCTTTCCTGAAGGCACTTTCTCTAAGGGTCCCTTTGCTGTGGGTTGCAGCTTCTTGTCCCTCTCCAGCTCTTCTTCCTGTAGGCGCTTCATAATTTCCTCCAGGGTCTTCTCAATCTCATAAAAGATGGATGCAGTTTGGGGTCCATCTCTGTGCGGGGAAGATAGTCTGGATCAGCCTGGATGCTGGCGATGATTTCGCAGAGGATGATACCATAAGAGAACACGTCTGCCTTCTCATTATAGGGCTCATCTCAGAGAACCTCAGGTGCCATCCAGAAGGGTGAGCCCACCATAGTCAGCTTCTCATTTCCCATGCTGGCATCAGGAATCTTCTCAGATAGGCCAAAGTCAGCCACTACTACAGAATAACCATTCTCATCTCTCTTTATCAGGGAGTTATTTGATGTGAGGTCCCGATGGAAAATGCCTTTGAAGTGAAGGTAGCTGAGGCCCACTGCTATGTCATAGGCCAGTTTCATCCTCACAGTCCAGGGCAAATGCAAGTTACTATCTAGCAACTGTTTCAGGTTCCCAGAATTGATATACTTTGTAAGTGCATGCAACTTTCCTTCATGTACACATATATCCAAATACCTAAGAATGTTGGGGTGGGAAAGTCTATTCATGAGTTGTACTTCTTTCAGCATATTTGCCCGGTTACTGCTTAATGTGTTCATCTTGAGAGCCATCACCTGACCAGAAGAAGCTTGGTGGCGCACCTTGAACACTTCAGAAAAGAAACCAGCCCCTATTTTGTTACAGGTGAAGTCATCCAAACGAGTCAGTCTGGAAATGGCACTTATAAGAGCTCTGTATGAGGATGGCCAAACTCTTCCCACCTGAGTCATGTTTCCATCCCCTCCACCACCACCTTCAAACTCTTCAAGACGTTTCTCCACAACGTTGGGGAAATCCTGCAATTGAATTCCATTTGCTCCGATCCATAGTCTCAATAATCACTTTCTTTTATTAAGAAAGAACTCCATACATAGTATTTATTGAATTTTACTTCTCTTCCACTGAGGCAGACTGAGCATCCGAAGGGTACCTGCAAGGGCAGGAGGGGGAGGCAGCGTCTAAGACTGAGCATAGTAGTCCTCAAAACTCTGTTTTGGCAGCGGCTAAGCCCACAGAGGCAGTGGGGGTCCTTTGCGCAGTTGCGGGCGATTCAGCTAAACTAGTAGCAGAGGACAAGAAGGCTACAGCCATGGCCCCGCAGTCAGGGCATCTACCTGCACCTATTTGGTGTGACCAGGATGACCCAAAAAGCGAGACTCATAGGGCAGCTGGAAGCTCCACTGAGCTCTCCCAAGATCTGTTTTCTTACAATGGACTTATGAGTCTGGAGGTTGATTAACAAGGAAGGGCAGTGTGGGTAATTGTTACCCAGCTGAGCACACAGGGCCAAGTTGGGGAGGGTGGCAGGAAGGTAGCAGAGGCCTGTACAGCCAGATCATGCCGCTGTCAGTCATTTAAGTCACAGAAATGGTGATCATTCTGATGGTAGTGGTTTATCATTTTGAACTTCAAATTGGCATAAAATTAGTTTTCATTTTGATAGGTCTTTGATGGGTTTCTCACCTCTGATTTTCACTATTGAATCATCAACATTTGATAAAACAGCTAGCATAAGCTTTTATTATTTTAACTGAAACATCATTAATATATAGTGCAATGGATACACCTCACTGTATGGTTCCTAGGGTTGACAAAGTATCACTTTATATGCACCTTAGTTTCTTTAATTTGATATGATTTCAGATTCACAAAAAAATTGCAAGAACAGGGCAGAGCAGCCCTGGCTGCTCTTGATGCAGAATACAATACTGTTAATATAGGTTATATACAACAGGGTTACAGTGTTTTTTTAACTCTACTTCTTTTTCCTTTTCTCCTTATTCTCTCACCCTCCTTACCAATCCGATTCCTTTTTTTTTTTTTCTTAATCATTGTATTAGTTAGATTTTCCTGACATGAACAACTTAGAAAAGGAAAACTTTATTTTGGCTCACGGTTTCAGAGTTTTTAGTTCATGGACAACTAAATGGAGGCAGGACATCATGGTGGAAGAGGATCGTGGAGGAAGGCTGCTCAGCTTCTGGCAGCTATAAAACAGACAGTGAGAAAGAGGGAGGAAGGGGCCAGACAATAAGTTACCGTCTTTGGGGATATGCCCACAGTGACCCACCTTCTCTAGCCACAACCCACCTGCCCACAGTTACCATCCATCAAAGTAGTTCTTTCAAATTATTAATCTACCAAGTGGATTAATTATTAATCCACCAAGTGGATTAATCCACTCTATAGGTGACAAATCTCATAATCTAATCATTTGACGTCTGAACATTTCTGTAATAGCACAAGAGCTGCTAAGATACCTCATGTCCAAACCATGACAACCATGTAGAAGTACACTGCTGACATAATTCCCCCTTACCCCTCAATATTTCACTATGTATTTCCTAAACAAGGAATTCCCTTTCTCTTATGTTACCACAGTACAGTGATCAAACTGAGGAACTTGATATTGAGCCGGTACTCTTTGATCTCCAGGCCTTGTTGAGATTTCATTTGTCTCAATAGGGTCTTGTGTGACAAAGGTCATACATTGCATTCAGTTCCTTTGATTCAGAATACTTCTGGAGTCTTCCTTGTGTTTCATCACTTGGACAGTTTTGTACAGCACAGGCTATTCTTCAGTGCTAAGAGCCATAGCCAGT